ACGACTCCAGTTAGTCCATTACTGTTGAGTTGACACCACTTAACATGAACACACACACCCCCACACACAAACAAACTCACATGCCTACAGAAATGCATTAAAACCAGTGATATTTCAAATCATTAGGTAATCACCAGGCTTCGTGTGTATTTTTCCTCTCATTTCATTAAACTTCATTTGTTTTCATTTCAGCTGACGTTGCAAATTTTAGGGGCTTTTTTCCTATTAATTTATGGGGCGTAGGTGGCGCTGGCTGAGCCAGCATTTCTTGCCCATCCCTAGTTGCCCCTTGAGAAGGTGGTGATGAGCTGCCTTCTTGAACTGCTGCAGTCCTCCTGCTGTGGGTTGACCCACAATGCCGTTAGGGAAGGACTTCTAGGATTTTGACCCAGCGACAGTGAAGGAACGGCGATATATTTTCAAGTCAGGATGGTGAGTGGCTTGGAGGGGAAGTTGAAGGTGGTGGTGTTCCCATATGTCTGCTGCCTTGTCTTTCTAGATGGAAGTGGTCGTGGGTTTGGAACGTGTTGTCTGAGGATCTTTGGTGAATTTCTGCAGTGCATGTTGTAGATAGTACACACCAACTGAGCGTTGGTGGTGGAGGGAGTGAATGCTTGTGGATGTGGTGCCAATCAAGTGGGCTGCTTTGGCCTGGTTCGTGTCAAACTTCTTGAGTATTGTTGGGGCTGCAGTCATCCAGGCAAGTGGGGAGTATTCCATCACACTCCTGACTTGTGCCTTGTAGATGGTGGGCAGGCTTTGAGAAGCAAGGAGATGAGTTACTTGCCACAGTATTCCCAGCTTCATATCTGCAGGATATCATCATATTGTAGCCTGAATTCCAATTCACACTATTGGGAAATTACGCTTAAGATCTCATATAGGATGAATGATTTTCTTTAAAAGAAGGAGGAAACTGAAATCCGGAATTGATTGCTGAGCCAAGCTTTTCCCTTGTGTTTGAATCCTTGTTCTTTCATTTGCAACATTTTTGAGGTGTGAAATATTCCATAAACACTTGTAGATTGTATTCATCCTGTCTGACACTATGCGCAAATATTAAAACACACTCCTATTTCTTCGTTATTGAGTGCACACAGCAAAGGGTGAGCCTACTTTTTGACTGACTTATTCTTCCTGTACTATACAAGTTAAATGACACTTGCCGTGTCATTCTTTATTTGATGTTTACTTCTCATCTCAATTAATTCAGGAACTTTAAATATTTCCCCTCCACCCCACTTCTGCCTCCACGTTATGGCCTGTAGCCTATTTTAAGAACAAAGCTCTGGAGCCTGTCTGCAGTAAGTCTCCAGCTTTATTGCAATGGGTAGGCTACTTTCCCAAACATTTTTATATGAATCCCACTACAGGCCAGTCGCTGGTTCTATTCTGTGTTACATAAACTACTAAAAAGACTTGAGAAATTCCCACAAGTGAGTAGGATTCAATATTTGGGGCGGCACGGTGGCGCAGTCGTTAGCACTGACTAGAGATAATGCACCATTACTCCAAAATTTTTTTTTTTGAAGTGAGTATAAAATTAATTCTGTTTACATCATTTTGAGGCTGCTTTCTTCGCTACTTATTTGGTTTTGTTCACTGGGGGGAAAATGTCTTGTCTGTGAGATATTTTATGCAAACAGTCTACATCTTGAGAGGTGATGAACCATTTGAGTTAGAGTGTGAAGCTACATTGCGCAAGGGTTAATTTTTATCTGTATGACTGTGTTATATTTCTCTAATGAGTCATAAGAGTTTGTGTTGGGAGTTTGGACAAATATTAGCTACCTATTTTAAAATGTGAGACACAAAGGGAGCTGGCATTAAGATGGCCAGCTATCTCTGTTTAGTTTGGATTTTCCCCACTTTCTGGAGTCCAGCATGCACAGTGCAGGTCAGGTCAGAACTGCTCCATTTCAGGGACTTTATTTTGGATAGCCAGGCTATTCCCCTGGAAAGGTGAGGTATCCCTGTGGATATGGTCTTTTTGATGGAGGGAGTTGGATGGGCGTCATTGTAAGGAAGTTGGCAGGCTATAGGTACTGTTTGGAATTTCAATAAATACAAAACAATGTACCTAAAGAGTGCATAAACCCGTTGGAACTAGCAAAGCTGCCAAAACTACCAACTAAATTAGAATAAAAGTATTTGTTTTCATAAGAGATTAGTTGATTGTTTTGTCAATAGAATATAGGACATTGAACTGTACAGCACAGTACAGGCCCTTCAGCCCACGATGTTGTGCCGAATTTTTACGCTAATCCTAAGGTCTATCTAACCTCCACCCCTACCTTATACTATCATCCATATGCCTATCTAATAGCCGCTTAAATGCCCCTAATGAGGCCAACTCCACTACCCTCTCCGTCAATGCGTTCCACGCCCCTCCCACTCTCTGAGTAAAGAACCTACCTCTGACGTCTCCCCTATATCTACCTCCACTCACTTTAAAACTATGCCTCCTCGTAATAGTTGCCTCCACCTTAGGAAAAAATCTCTGGCTGTCTACTCTATCTATACCTCTGATCATTTTTACACCTCTATCAAGTCACCTCTCATTCGTCGTTCTAAAGAGAAAAACCCTAGCTTGTCAATGATTGTGTTTTTTTTTTAAATACTGATTTCATTAGTAAATTTACATTGATGTAAGCCTGGCATCTGAAGTTTGCCTATGGTAGATATTGTTAACTTAGTGTGGAAAGGTTATGGAGTAGCATGGAGTTAGATGTGTGGGTTTAGGAGAAGTTGGAGGAGTTGGGAACTGAGGCCTACTGACTGGGCGCACAGAAGCAGGCTGTATGCCCAGGCCCACAGTCGCAGGCTGCATTTTCCACTCTCGTTCCACGGTCGGGAGGAACACTGTCACCCTGGAAAGACAACGTGGTCATCTAGAAGACTATCTCCTGGGTTTGGTATGTGGAGCCTGGAAATGACCCATCTTTATGCACTTGACCCAGCAGTGAAATTCAGGGTGGAATCTCACAATATTGAGCCTATGAAGAAGAGGATCAGTCTCTTTTTCTGTGAAGGTGCAGCTTCTGAATTTGGTCACATTGCAAAAGTGAGAAGGCTGGCAACTCATAGAATCTCTACAGTGTGGAATCAGGCCACTCGGCCCATTGAGTCCTCACCAAACCTCCGAAGAGCATCCCTCCCTTCCAACCTTATTCCCTGTAACCCTGCATTTCCCATGGTTAATCCACCTAACCTATGCATCCCTGGACACTATGGGTAATTTAGCATGGCCAATCCACCAAACTTGCACATCTTTGGACTGTGGGAGGACCGGGGCACCCAGAGGAAAGTATTAACTGACGTGAAGTTGTCCATGCTCTCTGTTAGCTCATTCTACTAAACCTGTTACATCCATTAGTGCAAAAGGACTAAAAAAGATTGAAAATAGATTTTTTTTTAAAAATTATGATTGACTATACAACAGTTAGAAGGCAAAACATATTTCCTTATGGTGATGAGTCAGTAATTAAAAATTATGACTGAACAAACTAGTTAGAAGCTTCCTTACATCGGGAGTTAGTGCAACATGGAATGCATTGCTACACAGGATGGTTTATCTTGGGATTGTGCTGATTCTGGTCCTCCAAGACTGTTACTATCAGCCAAGTACTTCAGGCTTTTAGTCATAATTCAAAATGGATTCCTTGTTCATTCCCAATCATTTAGCAGAGAAATCCTCACATGTTTACCCAACATTAATTAAAAGAGGGTTCTCAAAGACAGCCCAAAGATGGGAGACGATGGCATAAAGGTAGAGACCCATGTTAATGCTCTGAGGTCATGGGTTCAAAACCCAGCACAACAAATATTGAAATTTGAACTCAATTAATAACCTTTGATTTTAAATATAGTCTAAGGGTGACTTTAAAAGTATTGTTGTTTGTTGCAAAAACCCTTCACATTTGGGTCCTTTAAGGAGGGAAATCTGCAGTTGTAACTCACTCAGAGATAGTAAGAACTGCAGATGCTAGAGTCAGAGATAACAGAGTGTGGAACTGGAGGAACACAGCAGGCCAGGCTTTAACAGAGGACTGGGAAAGTTGATGTTTTTAAACAGGTATCAACTTCAGGAAAAAGAAGGGGCCTGACCCAAAACATTAATTTTCCTGCTACTCTGATGCTGCCTGGCCTGCTGTGTTCCTCCAGTTCCACACTGGGTTAAATCTGATGTTGTTACCTTTTCCGGCCTATTTGTGACTCCAACACACAGCATTGTGGTTGACTCTTAACTGCCCTCTGAAATGGCCTAGCAAACCATTCAGTGCGAGGGGAGTTAGTGCATGGGAACACATGCTGGCCTTACTAGTGATGCCCATGTTCCATGGAAGAATGAGGAGAGAAAAGTAGAGCTCCAACACCTCATTCCTGCTCCCCATAGGCCTGTCCAACCACTCAACCAACCTCACGCTCACTGTGCAGTCATAACAATTCTCAGGCTTCAAATTCAGGGGCAGAATGGGAACAATTTTGCTCAGCAGTGAATTATAAATTTCACTATGGCATTTAATAAATAAGGCTCCAAGAATCTGAGCCTTGAACTAAACTACCTCAGCTGCAATATTGTTGTGTATGGTGGATGTTCAATGAGGAAGGTAGCTCATGTGGCCTGTAATGACTAACAAAATGAAATGAGTCAGTTCACGATCAACTCAATGCACACCGTATACACTTACGTAAAAAGTAATATAATTGGCCATCTCTCACAGTGTTTCACTACCTTTATATATGCAGATACACAGAATTTTTGATAACAAATGTTTGTTCAATAATTAGAGACAGTATAACATCTAAAAAACTTTTCAAATTTATTTGGTATCTGACAAACTGTGACAGAGTCCATCCTCAAAAGATTGTGTGTAATGTTTCACCAGATGATCCTCTGTAATAGGTTAGTAACGTAAGTGATAATAAACAGATGATACAAGCCATGTATATAAACAATAACTTTTTGTAAAATTAACATGTTGCTGTATTTCTTTCAGCCACTGGACTTTGAAACCAAGAGGATACACAGTCTGTTGCTGGAGGCAGTGAATAAACATGTTGACCCTCAGTTTGAGAACCTCAGATCTTTTAAGGACTGGACCAGCGTCAGAGTGATGGTGAAAGATGTCAATGAACCACCTGTGTTCATCTCACAGGCAAATGTGATCAACGTTCAAGAGGACGCCCATGTTGGGAGTGTCATTGGCTCTGTAACTGCACAGGATCCTGACATAACAAACAGCCCGATCAGGTACAGGACTTTCCATTCTGCTTGACTTGAAAGGGTGTAGAAGTAGAACTTGTGATAACTAAAAGTCAAGAGGCATTGCTGTAATCCAACCAGACCATAGGGCTTGTCTCTCATTAGAGACAGAGAGAGAGAGAGGCCGAGATGACTGGTTTAACCTGAGGGTCACCATGCCTCAGGCGAGGGGGAAGGTTGAGACGGAGAGTCCTGCAGAGTAGCAAAGGTAACCAGGTGCAGAGCTGGATGAACACAGCAAGTCAAGCAGCACCAGAGGAGCAGGAGGCTGATGTTTTGGGCCTAGACCCTTTTTCTGAAGAAGGGTCTAGGCCCGAAACGTCAGCCTTCCTGCTCCTCTGATGCTGCTTGGCCTGCTGTGTTCATCCAGCTCCACAACTTTGTTATCTCAGATTCTCCAGCATCTGCAGTTCCTACTATCTCCTGCAGAGTAGCCTCAGGTCATGCAGGAATTGAACCCACTCTGTTGGCATCATGCTGCATCACAAGCAGACATCCAAGCTAACCAACCCTCTTCACTACCTGTTGTACCATTAACATACGTGTGTACTTCCAGGTACTTACGTGCTGGAAATGCCTCATTAAATAGATACTCATTATTCACCGTGTTTGCAACTTTGGTGGCAGTTAGTTCAATGGATCCCATTCTGCTCTGTGTCAGATGGTTGCAAGTTCAAATCTCACTCTGGACTTTTGGGCACAGGGTCCAAACTGTCACTGGCTCTAATTTTCAGTCAGTGATCTGTTGCGCAGAGATGGGATAATTCCCAGTTCTGCAGCCCCTACCTTTAAAAATAGCTATCTGAATTTTTGGTGATAGGGGAGTGGTAGTAGGAAGTGCAGGCTGGATTTGAAGTCAGGGTGAATGACTTGGGAAGACCTGGGTGAGAATGCCGAACGTGGAGGCAGGGTGGATGGAGAAGGGCTGAGAAACAGTCTACGGTTTAAATATAAAGAGTAACAGACAAAAACTTCCACACAAGCCCTCAGCCCTGTCATCGACAAAGGGAGGATGGCAGTGAGTTTAAATTATGATTGTTTTTCCACTCTTAAGCCTAAGGCAGCGAGTTATTGTTTGATTTATTTCTTTCCGTTTTCACTCTTGTCCCTTACTAAGGTACGCTAAAAAGTGTTTGCCAAACTTTGTTGTTTTGTTATTTAAGTTTCTTTCTTACAAATAAACCCACAGCAAAATCCTTGCAGATGAACTCCAAGGTAGGATTTATTGAACAAAACAATCAGAACGGAGAAATTGCTTTGTTATTTCATTTACATGCCCAGGCATGTAAAAGATGAAAGGTTTGTCTTACAAAGAGATTGAATAGTTTAGACCTATATTGTCTGGAGTTTAGAAGAATGAGAGGAGATCTAATTGACGTGTGTAAGATGGTGAAGGGGATTGACAATGTAGAAGTAGAGAGGATTTTTTTCACATGGGACAATCTCTAATGAGAGATCATAATTTTAGGATAAAGGGTAGTAAATTTAAATTGGAGGTGAGGAGCATTTACTTCTCTCAAAAGGTTATGAATCTGTGGAATTCGTTACCTCAGAGTACAGTGGATGTCAGGACATTGAGTAAATTTCAGGAGGAGACAGACAGATTTTTAGTTAGTTATGAGTTGAAGAGTTATGGAGGTCGGGCAGGAAAGTGAACTTGAGGCTGAGATGAGGTCAGCCTTGATTGTATCAAATGCCAGAGCGGGCTCGAGGGGCTGAATGGTCTACTCCTACTTCCTTGTGCCTTCTTATGTATGTATTTGATTTGGTTTCATTTGAGTTATTACTGTCATGTGTACCAAAGTACAATGAAAAGTGTTGTCTTATATGCTTTACAGGCAGATTGTACTATACAAGTGTATCAGGGTAACAGAACAGAGTATAGAATACTTTGCAGAACACCTACGCTCGGTTCGCAATAAACAACTGCACCTCCCAGTCGCGAACCATTTCAACTCCCCCTCCCATTCCTCAGACGACATGTCCATCCTGGGCCTCCTGCAATGCCACAACGATACCACCCGAAGGTTTCAGGCACAGCAACTCATATTCCGCTTGGGAACCCTGCAGCCCAATGGTATCAATGTGGATTTCACAAGCTTCAAAATCTCCCCTCCCCCTACCGCATCCCAAAACCAGCCCAGCTCGTCCCTACCTCTCTAACCTGTTCTTCCTCCCACCTATCCCCTCCTCCCACCTCAAGCCGCACCCCCATCTCCTACCTACTAACCTCATCCCGCCCCCTTGACCTGTCTGTCCTCCCTGGACTGACCTATCCCCTCCCTAACTCCCCACCTACACTCACCTTTACTGGCTCCATCCCCGCCTCTTTGACCTTTCTGTTTCCTCTCCACCTATCCTCTCCTCTATCCATCTTCTATCCGCCTCCCCCTCTCTCCCTATTTATTTCAGAACCCCCTTCCCCTCCCCCATTTCTGATGAAGGGTCTAGGCCCGAAACGTCAGCCTTTCTGCTCCTATGATGCTGCTTGGCCTGCTGTGTTCATCCAGCTCTGCACCTTGTTGTCTCGGATTCTCCAGCATCTGCAGTTCCTGCTATCTCTGTTATAGAATACAACATTATAGCTGCAGAGAAGGTGCAAGAAAGAGAGATCAACATGAACATTCAAAAGTCTGATAACAACAGGGAAGAAGCTGTTCTTGAATCTGTTCGCCCTTGTATGCAAAGTTTGATATTGTCTGCCCGATGGAAGAGACTATAACTGGGGTGTGAGGGGTCTTTGATACTGTTGGTTGCTTTCCCGGAACAGCAGGAAGTGTAGCTGGAATCAATGGATAGGAGGCTGGTTTACATAGTGGAGTGGGCTGTGCTCAGTAAGTAAGAGGGAGAAAGGGTAGGAAGGAAGTTGAAACTTAAGAATTTCTTTAAAAAAAAAATTGAAGATGTTTTTCTTAGTTTGTGATTTAAAGCCCCAGTGAATCAGTGATTCAGTTGGGAGTCTGTCAAGTGGCTGAGCTTGTTTTTCTGACAGTGATCTTCTTTATCTGAGAGCTCAGATACAGGATTGATGACAGTCAAAGGTGCAGCTATCGAAGAACGTATTCCAAGTGTTTGTCCAGTTTGGCAGGTGATGGCTGAGATTCTTTCTGAACAAGTGACATTTGAGAGTGATGTGCTTCCCATGATGGTAAATCAGCAACTGAGGTTGAAAGTCAAAACTGGATGCTTATTCAATTTGACAAGTGCAGCTTCTAGTCTGAGATAGTGTTGTTTCTGCTAAGTCGTTCAAAGAAATGAGATACTTTGATTACCCTCATAATGGCCATTGTGAGGCGAAGAGATGATAATGATGATCCATTAGTAACTAACTGGAATACAATTACCATCCTGCTACTGGGCAGTAGTAATTTGTAATTCCCATGTCATTTTCATGGAAGTCAAGATGTTTCTAGACAGTTTACAGTAACAAAAGTCTGCACTTTACACCTCCACCAGTTAAAGGGTTTAATGAACTAGCTGACTTTGATTTGCAGAATGTTCTGGAGGGTTCCGTTTAATTCCAGTCATGTGATTATAGCACCCACTTATGAATTTTGCAATATTTACCATTCATTTTAAATAAAGAAATTTAAACAGGAGACTCATGATGAGAATATTGTTTCACACAATTAACATCTCTCTTCATGACCTCTGGCCAGTCTACCTTCCACACACTCCCCATGCCCCTGTATCAATTGACATGACTGTCATAGCCTCCATACCAACCTGTAGCCCTTTTACTCATCCTCTACCCCATGCCAATATAGTGCCAACAGATGTCACACCAAGCCCCCACACACCACTCATTTTCCTTTGACTTGCCCAACATGTATAGTATCAACCATGAACAAACCTCAGGAGCCGTGCATGGCTGCAAAAAAGACTTCTATTAAATAAAGTAAATGTTGAAAGACATTCTCATTCACATAAGAGATAACACAGTGTGGAGCTGGATGAACCATCATGCTAGGCAGCATCAGAGGAGCAGGAAAGTTGACGTTTCGGGTTGGGACCCTTTTTCAGAAATGGGAGAGGGGGAAGGGAGCTCTGAAATAAATAGAGAGAGGAAGGCTGGAGCTGGGGAAGGTTCGTGGGATGATGTTTGGAGCTCCCTTCCCCCTCCGCCATTTCTGAAGAAGGGTCCCAACCCAAAATGTCAACTTTCCTGCTCCTCTGATGCTGCCTGGCCTGCTGTGTTCCTCCAGCTCCACACTGGGTTATCGCTGACTCTAACATCAGCAGTTTTTACGTTCTTACTATCTCATTCATATAAGTACATTCAATACACTTAGATTCCTCCTCAGCAAAACCATATAAAAAGAAACTTTTCATTCATGCCTAGAGACCAGTTGATTTCAGTCTTGAATATGTTCAGATAAACATCCACAGCCTCCTGGAATACAGAATTCCCAAGATTAGCAACCATCCGAATCTCACTTCTAAAGGGACAGTCTTTTACGCTGAGACAGAAACCCTGAGATCTGGAATCTCCAGCCAAGTCCTGCCCTGATTTTCCTTCCCAAAATGTAGCACCTCACATTTATCTAAATTAAACTCCATCTGCCACTCCTTGGCCCATTGGCCCATCTGATCAAGGTCCCGTTGTGCTCTATAGCCTTGCACACAGTTACTGAAATACATGATGTTCGTTTCTACGGAACTGTCTTTACTCCTTCTGAATTTGTCAAAATCTGAAAATGCCTCATAAGGATTTAAGAAATCAACTTTTTGATAAATTTCATTCACGCAAGTTAGTAATTTGCCCAAAATGTTCTTCTGCATTCAAATCATCAGTCATCAAATCCGAAAGAAATGCTGTTTCTTGTGCTGGCTTTGCATGACATGAGTACCTGAGTAGTGTGTACTGACACAGGTCCACGCTTTATTCTTTCATTGGTTTTAAGGTTTGTATTTAGAAGGCAGGACTGGGTAGTCGCAACCCAATACTTGAAAATTGATTCGATCCTGTCTCTAATGTTTTCTCCAAT